CTTTCACAAGTACAGTTCATGCAAATAGCTATTTTAGTCTTTGCCCTCTTTAAGTGTGAGGGTGTGTATGCAACTGCTTATTTCCATATGATTAAAAAACCTCAACAAATTAATCAGATAATTAATCCCACTCACTTCTGAAAAATCACAGATAGTTAAAGGGCACAGGCCTGGTTATAGAGGAGTTTTCTCCCCTGGTGCCTAAAGATATGTTGTGCATGCGTCCTCAGCTAGTAAGGGTAGTTAAAGTGCTTTGCATTCTAGCTAGCTACCAGAAAACTGAGCTTTTAGCATGTTGGTTAGCGAGAAAAGATTACCGCAATGTTCAGAGATGTTTATTTTTAACTGTGCAAATTTACATGTAGGAGATGTGTTGGTTAATGCCTGCAGAATGGAATCAGCTTCCAGAGTAGACATCATTTTCAGCATCAGTTCTGCTTGTTGTTCAAGTCCAACCTCTAAGCGTGCATCTAAAGCTTTGGAAAGCAGCATAATGTCAGCATTTAAATTACAATTTTTACATAAATTACAAATTTATGACCTATTACACATTTAAACAGTAAACATTTTATCAAATGTTAACAGATCATCATAAAATGCTTAGGCCTATGGTACTGACTGTTTCTGTTGCTAGATATGGGGCTTGGTGTATGAACTATGGTGTATGAAAAAAGTAGGACACATAATGCAGATAATAAAGCAGATTTTAAGTAAATCCAGAGACTTAGGTCAACAAAGTCAGATGTCTGCCCTCAAACTACAACTGTTATTTTCGGGAGCAAGATTCAGTTCAATAATTTTTGGAACAGATACCAACTGAATGGGGCTTTTTACTGAGCACAACCTGGTTTTTACACTGTAGCCACAATACAGAGAACCACATGTCTAGCTCCATTTGTCCAGCAGGGCACTGGACTTTCCCGAACCACCCCCTTTCCTCAATAATCCACAAGGCTTCTGGAAACTGGGGGACCTTACAGTTTTCACTATGTCACAGATGTGCCAAATATAGCTCTTTGGAAAGGAGCTACAATATAATAATCAGAACATGCATTTGTAAACCTTTAATTATATCTCAACTGTCTGGCATAGAACATTGCATAATTCAAATATCTAAATAATCATAATGTCACATTAGCAAAAGCAACAACAGCTCCCCCAACAAGCCAAAATGAACAGTACACAAGGTAAGACTATACCTATTGCTTACCTTGAGAGACTGATACGCTCACAGTTTGTGACCCATTCTTCTCTGTGGTAACTGGTGGTTTTGCCACAGAGATTCCAACACCTCCAATGTAAGGGTTGTAATTATATGTACCGTAGTCAGCACCCCAGTAATCATACCACGTGCTGCTTATAGGCTTTATAAAATAAAATGAGATACAAATTTATTATTCAGATTATTTCTGTTAAAAAAACTACTTTTTTCTACTGCTACATTTTGAAGTAGGATTATAAATGGTATTTTAGAAGTTATAATAAATTGGAATAGCAACATGTTTTGCTAGGCACTGCAGAGAAGCAAATGACAGTAGTATCCTCTAAAGTGTTTTCAAATTAAGCCACAGTACAGAAGAAGAAGCTGAAGAAGAAGAAGAAGAAGAAGAAGAAGAAGAAGAAGAAGAAGGCATCCAAATACATCATGATGAGAGACTATGTTTCCACATGCTGATGAATTTTTATTAATAGCCCAATGCATTTGAGCATTGAAGGAGGTATTTTCCAGGTATCTCTGAAAGCAGATGAAACTCTGAAAGACAGCCTTTTGGCGGAAACACCATGGGCATTTATTCAAAATTCACCAGCATCTTGAGACATTCTCTTTCTCTGGCAGTTCATTCTGTATCACACATACAAGACTAAGGAGATAACTTTGGAAAAAGTTGCACTGTGTTAAAGATATAAGCTTTTTTGAAAACTCATGCATGCCATACCTTGAAGACTTTCGCTGCAAGGGGATCTTTCTCTAAGTCAATATCTAAAGGATCAATATCGACTTCCATCAGGTCTTGTAGTAATTCAAGATCAATGTCTTTATCTTTTTCCAAAGATGACAGGGGTGGAGTACCTTTAGGTGATTCAAAGAGCTTAATACCACCATGCTCTGTAAAGGTTCATAACAGACAAGACTGGCAAAAGGCTGTGTAACTTAAGGGTCAACCAGTCTACCTAGCCCAAAACTCACATGTATGATTTCTAGAAGGTTTAACAGGCTCTGGTTTTCTACCCATCCTCTATCACTATAGCTAGTGACCCCACAACCTTTGTTTCATCAAGGGGCATAAACTCTGAACTTGTTATTTACTCTAGAGATCTGGTGTACCACGGCACCTGTCATGGGTAGTAGGATCAAGTTATCAAATATTTAAGACTGTATTAAAGAACCAGACAGTGTTTGAAACTCCCACTGTTCTAGGCGCATTTTGCGACAGGGAATTTCATTAGTGCGAGCAGTTTCTGAGCTCTGGGTGCAGTACTGTGCCTAAGATTTCAGTTTACAACAGCAGAGTAGAAGGAAAGGAAGACCTTTTTCTGCCTCCCCACTTCCAGCTACTTTCTGAAGACTGGAGAAGAGACCCTGTTAAGAATATTAGGGGAGTGGGCAGGGGAAGGACTAGACCATGTGAAAAATGAACATAATATTTTAGCTGCAGTTCATTCATTTTTAGCTTTGTATCCTCGTTATAAAAAAGCACGCCTAGACATTCTGTTGCTGTACCCATAACCTAGGTTTAAGGTGCCATTTAGCTCCTAGCTTTCAATGTCCTCTTGGGACACTGGCATGCCTTCCTGAACAATATGAGAAGGGACACAGGAGGCTGATGGGGGAAAGGGAGAATTGCCCTGGCTGATTTTGGGTGAGTCTACCACCCCGCTGTACCTATTCCCATAAAGTCTAGAAGAGTCACCTGACACTCTGGAGAGGCTTTCTGGGGATGCATGTGAGTCAGAAAACTTTACTTCCAGGAACCTCCTTAAGTTTATTTATAAGATCTAAGCCAATGCTTTTCATCTTTACTTCAATCACTGCAAACACTGTTTTAACTAAAAAACACACAAACACTATTATTGACAGAACCAGTTTAGTTATTTGTTACCCTTTCTAAAATTCTGATTTTTTAAACTGCTTCTGAAATGGTGGTAAATCTATTGGTTAGATGGCAAAACTGAAGCAACAGCTTGGAAAAGGCTCGTTACCCCTCTGCAAAGTATATATTTACCTGTGATGTCATGTGTCAAAGGCTCATCAATAGTTTCTACTAACTGAACTGCAGACTGCTGAAGAGCATCATCTGAGTCTGCAGCTGAAGCCCCTGCCTCTTCTCCCATTGCAGCTTCCTCCATGGCTTCAGCAGCTATAGGAGCCAACAATTCTCCTGAATATGTCAGAACACAATTAATTTACTGAAGTGGTCAAAGAAAAACAAACTGATGCATATTGCCTGAATACTAGCATTACTCAATTCCATGTTCTGAACTAAGAAGGTTATCATTTCAACATAGATCACACAGCACAATAGCACTCAAAACTGATCATACTAGTTGCATTTGCTTTTATGCCCAATCTAACCTATCCAGAAAACTTGCAAGAAAACGTACACACCTCAATAATTCTGTCTACGCAAGACAACCCCAACAAGATCAGACCACATGGTCAAGCAGAAATCTTATTTCTCAATGCTGATGTGGAGGGTGGAAGGCCTAGAATATCTCACAGCTAGAGGCACAGATCACCCTTCTCCAAACCATCTTTGGGCCTCAGCATTGTCTGACACCATCTGCCCCCCTCCCACTGTTTTCTACAGCAGACAGGCTAGTTGCCATTTACTGAGGAAGCTGGATGCTACCACATGAGGGTCTTGCCAAACTGCTGGAAGTCAACTAGTCAATAAAGTTGTGGCTCATATTCACCCCATGTTAGTATGTTGGCTATTACATCTTCCATGCTCCCCACTGTATGCAATCATTCTGCTTGATAAGTATCTGGAGTTTCAACAAACCTGCTAGGATGTCTTGCAGCATACACGTCAGAGAATACTGAGCCCATGCTCCTCCCCAAGAGATATCACCTCTGTTAAAGTCTGTCCCAACCAGAAGCAACAGTAGCCTTTCCAGCTGAGCTTCGTTCACAATTTCACACAAATGAATTGTAGGTCTTGTAGCATTGGCAATTCTAGCAAGAACCTGGAATGGAATTTCAGAAATGAAAGGTTGCATGCATAGTTCTATCCACAAATGTTTGCTTACAACCATTTATTTATTATGTCAAATTTATAACCCACTTTTCCTCTCTGAAGGGAGCCAAGGGCAGCTATGGGGTATAACATCTCTACAAAAGTAAGACTTGAATTACTATAATGGATGGAGCCTCAGGTATATGGCCTAGGGACTCTCTCACTGGAGCTATGTGGAAATCTACGCAACAGCTTCAAGACAGGTAAAGAGTCAATATCAGGAATGGCTTACCTAGTTATGTTTGTCATAAAAATAAACATGGCTATTAGTCTTGTATCTTGGAAAATGTATGATTTAAGAAATACACAAGCATTGCATAAACTAGAAAATATGGTCATATATATTTATAGTGGAAGATGCATTCAGCAGAGTAAGCTGTACAGGATAAATGCATAACACTTCTGGCATGACATCTCATGCAGCTCTGAAGATGCCCTCCTTCCCTCCTAGTTGGAGCTAGTCTCTGTCCTAAGGGAGCCCTCCTTTCTATTTCTGCATATCCATTATTTTCCATTTTATCTTGGAAAGTTGCAACATTAAGATTCTTGAAGAAAATGAAGAAAATATTATTCATCTATAACGTATTCAGCATTAATATATTGGGTTGCCTAAGCAGGGCATTCAATTTTTGTTCCCCCTCCTCCGCAACCTACAGCAGCCTCCTGCACCATGTGTCCTTTTATCCCAAAGGGTCCACCAACTCTAGGGAGCAGTTTTTAGGAGAAGATGGGTCTTAAGTGGCTATGGATGGATTGGCAAATGACTTAGCTCAGTGGGTAGAGCACAAAACTCTTAATCTCACAGTCGTGGGTTCAAGCCCCACATTGGGCAAGATTCCTACACTGCAGAGGATTGCACTGGTTGACCCTGGTGGTCCCTTCCAACTCTACCATTCTATGATTCTATGACTAAGACTTGCATGAATGAAAGCCTTTCCACCAAGGCAAAGCCACAATCTGATATAACCCATTGTTTTTCCTTTCAGCATGAGTGCAGAGAGAAAAATGAAATGTTTGTTTTTACATGGACATATCAGGAAAAGGAGCAATGACACACACTTAGTTGAAGATTCACCATGTTTGACTCAAGGGTGAAAAATACTTGTGTCTCCTAGATATCTTCCTTCTGTCATATAAAACATGCACAGGCAATGGGCAATACCTAATTATGCCCACCCACAAGGGAAACAGATTTCCATGATAAAAGAAGACTCCCCCTCCCTCCCTTCCTTGGATGACTAAATGCTATCAAGTAGGAAATAGTTCCTATTATTTTTATTATTATTATTATTCCGCCCCATGCCCAGAGGTCTCAGGGCGGTTCAGTTAGTTCCCTGCCTTTGTCCAGAGCAGATAGGAATATAGGAAGCTGCCTTACATGGCTCTGGGCTGCTCTGATTTGCAGTAGGATTGTTCAGGTAGTACAAAGGAGGATTCTTCATGAGTTACTCTTTCTGTTAAAGGTAAGGAAGCAGTTGTTGTGGCCTGGTTTCTTTTGTTCTATATGTTGCCTGTCTAATGCCAACAAGAGATGCTTTCCTGGCTTTGACATGAAGTGAACTGAAGCCTGAGGGAGTGGGGAAACACCAACTCCCTTCCAAGGAGAAATTCCCTTCAGGCGAGACCAACAGTTCCTTCCTCTGCAGTCTCCCATGTACCCTAAACTCTTTTCTGAAGGGTTGGGGGACCCTCCAGAGCAGATGTGGGGCTGCAGTGGGGTTGTGCAAGCAGACACCCACTCACGCAGCACTGGATACCAACCTATTATTTTACACCATGGGATTTTTCTTTGGAATATCATGCAACTGCAACAAAATGTTCTTCCGCACGTTGGTGTTGAGCATCAATTGGACATGCCTAAAATGATCACCACCTGTACTGGTCTTCCCCTAACTGCACAGGATAATCATGTAATATACTGCATACCTTACACACGAACAGCAGTAGATCTGCATGACAAGTAAAATCCATTGACAAAAGAAAAAGTGCCAACTTTTGCACTACTGAAATACAGCGTTCATGTGCCAACGTAAATGGAAGGGGTTCAATTTCTGGAGTTTCTTTTGCAGTTGATACTTCGGTGTCTAATGTAGAACGAGGCCACTCTGCAGTCCGACGTAAACGAATCAGATCCTTAAAGTGCTGTGTGAGTCAAAAGCACAGAATGCGTTTGCAATTATCCAACTATTTTTTTATTAAACAGAAGTTAATTTGTTAACATGAAAAAATACATAACGAGTTGAATCCAGACTGTCAGCTCCATGAAATGGAAGGGCTCCTTCTGTTCACAGAAGTTAACTTCAGTATAGGAGGCGACTCCCAATGGAGAAGAGGGGGAAGGAGATTTTGACCTTTCCCTACAGATGCAGGCATCACTCACATGCTATTCCAGAAGACCCTGCAACCCACACCACTGGGCAGCCTGGGGTGTTTCCCCCCCACAAAAAAAATCACTGAAGATTGCTTCTTTCCACTTCTACCTAAAGAAGCGTCCAGTTCCATTGCCGACAAGTCTGAATCCAGTCTGTTATTTAACAATTTCAAATATAATAATATACCTTTAAGAATACAAAACCTCTCTAATTTCACTATTATAGTACTTCTAATAATAACAATAATAGAACATTACTTTTAATTTATCATTAAGGGTGAATAAGGCACTATCTTCAAACTTTTGTCAAAAGGAACTGTTATTCCACAAGATAATTTTCATGGAACTACCTTCTCATATCTGCATAGAGTCATTTCAGTTTAGAAATGAACACTTTAACTCATATTCCATAACATTAACACGCTAATCACATTTTCCATTATGATTCAACCGGCCATCAAGCAATCAGTAGTCATTCCTATATCTGTAGTCTCAAATCTATCCATTTAAGTCGTTGAGGAGAACATGAAAAGGAAGCTACGGGATCACATATCCCTAAATATGTTGAAGACTAAAATGCCAGAACTTTCTTTCCCAAGTGCCATTAGAATAGCTATGTGATTCCTCACACTGCCAACACTTGTCCTGCACCAGATTCAAAACAGACTTTTGCTGAGTGAGGTATCACTGAGGTGGTACCTTAAAAGTAATTCTGTTTCAATTGCTCTGCTATAGGTTTCTTATCTATCCTCTTGCCAAGTCATTGTCTTTGCTTGGTATGTCCCAATTTCTTCACTGGCAGTTTGCATTTTTTGGTGCAGAAGGTATTGATCTGATGTGTAGAGATCCTTCCTATTCTAATTGATTCAAGAGGGTTCTGGAAGCTTCTCCGTGCGTTACAAGCTGGAAGTTTAAAGCTAACAAGCAAGCTTCTATTCTGGCCTTCAGAGAAGCTGAACAGCTGGTTTAAACTGGTTCTGTTATCTCTTTCACTCAAGTTCATGCTGAATATAAGAACAGGCCAGAAGAAGCTTGAGTTTTACTTTCTGTCTCTCTTTCCTTCTGGTGTGGTGTTCCTTCGGGTGTGGTGTTCTGTACATGCTTAGGTGTTAAGGTTTTAACTTATTAAAACTTATATATTTAAGTCTGATTTCTTATGGACTGTGCCGATCCTGAAGATGTATTTGATTTGTGACCATTAAGCTCATTTGTCTTCAGTAGTAAAACTCTGCTGGATGAAGCTAATTGCCTCTGGTCTATTTTTTGGGAGTCCTGCAACATGTTTAAGTTTTTACTCTGCTAACTATACGCTGGGATCTGCTCTGGATCAATATGAGCACAATTCATGAAATTTACCATTTTTTTTTGACATGGCAGCAGACCATCAAGTTTGACTGCTAAGAAGGAATGTATTAAGGGGGGGGGGAGGCGGAATGAATAACTTGTAGGCCTCTAAAAGGTACCCCTACCCGTACGGGCCAGTCTTGACAGACTCTAGGGTTGTGCGCTCATCTCACTCTATAGGCCAGCGCTGTCCGCAGACACTTCCGGGTCACGTGGCCAGCGTGACAAGCTGCATCTGGCGAGCCAGTGCAGCACACGGAACGCCGTTTACCTTTCCCGCTGGTAAGCGGTCCCTATTTATCTACTTGCACCCGGGGGTGCTTTCGAACTGCTAGGTTGGCAGGAGCTGGGACCGAACGACGGGAGCGCACCCAGCCGCGGGGATTCGAACCGCCGACCATGCGATCGGCAAGTCCTAGGCGCTGAGGTTTTACTATCCATTGCTAAATCTAATCAGCAATGACCAACATGCCAAAGGTTTAGGAATCATGGAAGCTGTTATCTAACAGCATATGGAGGGCCACAGGTTAGTTCCCCTGGTATGCATTTACCACATTATCCTTCACTGGCCGAAATAGGAAGAATACCTTCTCTATTAGTTGGTGTTCTAACTAGGCCATGCTTCCTGGTTAATACAACAACAACATCATGTAAAAATATCCAAACAGACTTGGGGCTGCATCCAAAGGTGCCAGTCATCCAATAGTGTGTCAGATAGTAAAACTTCTCTCAGCGTAACAGGAGTGGAGGCAATTTTCAACTATTCTCTTTATCCCCTGCAGCCCCTCTGCACCCCATCTAAATCTTCTCTGGGAGGTCCACCAATCCTCCTGAGTACTTACAGGGTGTCAGGGGGCTGTAAGGGGGAGGGTTGACTCCCTCCATGGTCTGTTGACAGAGACCTTACCAGCAGCTGAGTGACACTGCTGGATACAGCACTATGGGTGTGCTGGTTGACCTTCACTACAACTTACGCATAAAGTGGTATCACCCTCCAATTCTTTCAAAAGGTCTTGCTTTTTCATCTAGTCATATTGCCCAATATGCCTATTATGTTAGCCTGACAGTATATACCAGGCACGTCCAACTCTATAGAGACTGCGATCTACTCCCAGTATAAGAAAACTGGCAGTGATCTACATATTGTCATTGCCCATAGTTGTTGGTGTTTTTTTAGGGGGAGAGGCCAGAGTTGTTGAACTTTTTTGGGGGGACGGGTTTAATTATATCGCTCATCCAACAGTCTGAACCCCTCCCTTCTTCCCCCACCCTGCAGCAGACGAAGGGAGAAAAAATCTTTAACAGCACCATCAACAGCGCCGATGGGACATAGTGCTGGGGGCGGGGTGTGTCATGAACGCTCAGGAGCAACCAGGCAATCTCTTTTTTAACTACCGCGATCGACCTGGAGAACCCTGCAGATCTACCTGTCGATCGCAGTCGACTGGTTGGACATTGCTGGTATATACTGTAGAGATGGATATTCACCTTTCTGCTTCATCTTGTTTCAACCATGTAGGGCAGACCCAGTCTCTCATAGCTGCCAAACTAGAAGTGTCTAAAATAGGGAAGCTAACTTCTCCAGGTATTTAGGGCCTCCTTGGCATTGTAAGTGCAACTGTTGGCAGTTTTCTCCTCCTGCGTTAAGTTTCTACAAAGTATCTGCTAATACTTCAAAGCACACTTCCCAACTCACAAGGGGATAGAAAGAATCCTTCAATTCATCATCTTCCACAAACACCACATTAGCAAAATAAAAGTACACCCTAGATCTGAAGAACATACAGTGCATGGAGATAGCAGAAATCCATGAAGTCTTTAGCTTGCATAACCCTTCAGGTGACTAAGTTATAACTTGAACTACCTACTTCATGTGAAAGAATCCAATATTCTCAGTAAAATGTCAGCAGCAGCAGGGAGATTTGCAGGTTGGAGAATTTTTTTTGTTAATATATGGTTTAGGCGCTACTCGTAAATTTACAGAATTACTTACTACAGAGAAGTTCTTAGTATTTCCCAGGTGATGCTGAAGCTGCTAATTTAGGCACATCCAAGAGATTAAAAACTGCACCTCCTGAAATTGTGAATGTATTCCTATGAACAGCATACTTCTATGC